AATTGCCTTGTGTTTTTTGAAAAAAAGTATGAAAGGGTCTTGTTTTTGCAAAATCTGAGGAGTCTGTAAAGTTTCTAATAAGGTTTAGGAGTTGTACTCTTGTTGGATCTCATTGGAGTGTTGCTTCACTAGTTCTATCTTTTTTTGGATATAAATTAGTATTGAAGTCACCTCTAATTATGTTGATAGCATTTTCATTGATCTGTGAAGACCATTTCTCGAAAAAAAGGTTTTTGTTATTTGGATTAGGAGGGGCATATATGTTGGATATTTGGAATGTAAGATCCCTAAATTTGAAATTAGTGATAATAATTCTATTATCCATATCCATTTCTATGTTTTTAAAAATTATATCTTTGTTGCCTGCAAGTATAGCTGTCTTGTTTGACCAGATTGAATCAAAGATCCACTGATTTTTAAGAAAGCTTTGCGTGTTCTTGTCATTCAAGTTTGTTTCTTGTAATATAATAAGATTCAGTTTGTAGGATTTCAAAAGAGTTAAAGTATTTCGTTGTTTTTGCTGATTGTTTAGCTCTTTTACATTAAGGCTAGCAATTTTGAATTTAAATTGTCCAGTCATGTTAAAAGTAGAGTAGTACAGATTTTAGATCTGTAGATTCTGTGCTCTATTACGAGATTTTTTGTATGAAGCTGGCCTAGATGTTTTGATTTTCTGGCTTGCAAGATCTTTTTTGCTTTTTTTGTCTTTTCTTTTTCTTTGTGGAATTAAAGTAAATCTATCATCAGGTTTTTCAAGTTAGAATTGTAAAGTATCTTCATTTGTGATTAGCACTACTAGAGAGCTATGAGATTTTGGTTCTTCTATTTCCATAAGTGGAATTGAGGTTGGATTTTTTATCACAGAAGCTTCATTGCTAGTGTCATTGATGACTTCATCAATTAGACTATCTTGGTCATTTTCTATTGCTATAGAATTATTCATTCTTTATTTTCTTTGGCATTGATAGTATTATGAAGGATTTCCTCTGATTGGAGTTCTTCTATATCTACTTCTTCCATAGACTCGCTTTGTTCTTGCTGGTTTGTATTTATGTTTTCTAAATCGACTAATAGATGTTTTTCTTTTTTTTTGTTAGAAAGAAATTCTTTATATTGTCGACGAAGTTCAATAGCCTCCTTGTATTGTGTGCAGTCCTTTTTGATATGTCCTTTATTGTCGCAGAAGTAGCAAAGCTTGGGAGCTGCATGCCATTTTGTAGTAACTTTATTATCAAGAATAATATAGAAACAAGTGATCTTTTTTTCTAAATCTGAATCTTCTGTGGTCTCGAAGGTAACAATCTACTGATCGGTTAGATAAGGTGTATCTTCTATTAACAATAACTTAATTGAAGCAATTTTACCTAAGTTCTCGAAAGCAACTTTGATTCTCTCTAAAATAAAATTCTTGTCATCTAATGGGATGTTTCTGATCTTCATTGGCAAAAAGGATCTTTTGATATCGACAGAAATATGTCCATAATATGTGTGATTAAAAATTTCAACACCTTTAGTAACATAATATTTGAGCTTTTCCTCATTTATAAAAATTAGTTCTAAGTGGGTACGAAGTTCTCTATTGACATATGGCTTAGCAGCGATTATGTCTCATCCTGCTGTCTCATAAAGAGAAATCATAATTTCATTTAGTGAACCATTAAGGTTATGGATATCTAATATGAGTGCATTATCATTTTTAGACCTTATACTGTTTTTTGGTAAGAATGAAGAGAAGGTTGATTGACCTCTCTTGACTTTTGCAAATAAGCTTGACCATGGTTTACTCAAGACTTCTTTGTGTTTGTTTATACCTAAAACATTAGCTTTTGCAGAAGACATGTTGTTTTGTTCAGAACATGATGCTGTTGTTGTTTTGTTTTCTTTATTATTTAGACTTTCAGAACGTGTCTTAGAGTTAGATGTGATTGTATTACTATCTTGGTTCTTCTTTTCTTCAAGAGTCCTTTTTTCGTTTTCTAAAGTAACTTGCTCATCCCAACTAATATTATCTAAAGAGTCGTCTTGCATAGAGTCAGTAAAAACTTCTTGGCTGGTTTTTGTTGCCATAGTATTTTCTTTAAGAAAAGATTTAATTTCAGTTTTACTAGTTGTTTTTTTGTCAAAAAGTTTGTTGCCAATTTAGTTTTCTTGTTTCTATAGACTTCTAAAGTAAAAGTCTTGCACTTTCTAGGAACAAGGAGGAGAGCCCCTGTTCTGCTACTGTTTTTAAAGTAAGTAAAGCCCTAAGTAGCATGTATTTTGTCTTTTCAAAATTATCCTCTTTCCTAAATGTGATGGTCAGGAGAGAGAGATCATTGATCTTTTTTATCCTTCTGGTTTAAATACTAAATATATTAAGAAGTTTATTCACAGAAAGGTTTGATCTTGACACAAACCACCAGAAGAGTCATTTACATCTTAGTTTTTCATGTATTTCTAGTTTGTTAGCAATAGTCTGCTTTGTATATTAAAACAGAATCAAAGATATTATTTACTTAAAAATATAACTCTTCAAACTGTTTTAGTGCTAGTTTGGTTTAAATAATTGTTAAAGAGAGTTTTGTAAGTTTGATTAATCAAATTTATATTTACTAGTTAATTACTAGTTTTAAACAGATAATTAACTAGTAAATATAAATTTGGTCAACAAATCTCATAATATTTTAAAAAAAGTTAGAAGTAATCAGGTTAGGTTATATTAATTTATCCTGAATAATTTGAATTTATGCAAAAGCCAAATTTTAAATATATGTAGTGCAAATGATGAATTACTATTTTTAGAATAATATAGATCAAAGTTGATTTTTAGAAGTATGCAATACAAAATAAGGGTTACTATTTAATAGAACATCTTACTTTTATTATCTTTTGTGGGATTATTTTACATATGAGTACTATTAAGTGAAATTTGTATATTTTATGTATTTGATAGATTTTTTTAATTGTTCTTATATTGATTGTATTATTAGAAAATAAGTTCTATAAAGTTAAAATAATTAAATGCATAAGAACTTACAGGATAATTTCTGGATTTGCATTTTAATTTCTATTATATTTAATTGCTACATAGTATAAAAATATTGATTGATGTATTTTAAGCAAGTTATTCAGACTTTTTTTTATTTTATACTAAGACCTTAGTTATTAGTAGCTATTGTTTTTATTATATTTTAATTATAATTACATAACTTGTACAAGATAAGTATACAACTAGCCATATGTACACTTTTGGTTGTTTATTTTAAGCAGTTTGCCTGCATATCTGCAATTTACTAAAAGATTACCTTTTTAAATACTTTAATCCTTATACTTATATTAACAAATAGCATACAAGTTCCTATATATCTAAGTGCTGTCTAATCTAATTGTGACTTTTCTGTCTGTACATCCATCAAGCTATTACATATTTCAGAGTATGTCATCTGACTGTAGAGCTCCAGAGGGCCCTTCACTATCCACATTTAGTATCTTGTTAACAGAGCTTGCTCTTGCAGAGTTTATCCAGACCCTAGCACCAACTTCATAGCATATCTCTAGTACTTATAGTATATCTTTGTTTCTGACCTTAGACTTCTAATCCAGATAGCCTAGTAGGACTATGACCTGTTCTTGGTACTCTAGAATCTGCCTTTCAAGGTTCTTTTCTTCTGGTTTAAGACTTCTAGTAGCCTAGTTAATAGTACCACTTATCTAAGATTCTTGTTTGCCCAATTTCTTCCATATTGATATTTGTTTTCTAGGTTTAGCCTTTACAGTAGTAATATCAAAGATCTGTGCTATCTTTTTACTTGAGTCTTTTCAAGTAGGCTCCAGTTTTCTAGTTCACAGATTTATATAACCATAAGAATTTATTTTGGGTTTGTACTATTCAATATCAGTTTGCATTCTTCTATATAACTCCAACATTACACAGCTGCTCTATGACCTGATAGTTATCTGATGTGACCATGTTACAGGTACTAATTCCAACTGATCGATAGAGTGCCATTGCCATTATGGATGCCAACTATACTCATGATAAAACTTGATAAAAATATAAACTAGCCACGTCATAGGTTTATACTGTTTATATTTTTTAAGCTGATGTTAAAACTTAAAAACTATCAAAATATAAACTGATAAACCTCTGATATATGCGATAAAACTATGAACCAAGAAACTATAAATTTATTTGAGCATTATTTTTTTAATATTTAGCATTTAACATATATATTGTATATAACATTAGCATTTAATATATAAGCTACATATATTGTATAGTTTTTTAAAGCTGATTATTATCATCCTCAAGTCCTAAGACCTCATCAACAACATTTGATGCTTCAAAATTCATATTTCCGTGACCTTTGCTTGATGTAGGTTTAGATTGTAGTTTAAAGTTTTCACAATATGTTTCCATGTTATTGTTATTAAAAAAAGATAATGTAAGATCCGCTATATCTTCGATATTAAGTTTTGTCTCAGAAGCCACAAATGTATCAGAATTCACTAAAGTAAAATTAGTATGTTGATTCATAATATAAGATTTGTCATCATCGAATATGTCGTCATTTATATTAAATATATCAACTTCCAAAACTGGAATTGTTGCCATATTAGTACAGGCCTGTAATTCTTCTTCAGTTAAATCTTTTCCATAATATTCAAGTTCTTTCCGGATTTCTAAAAGCCAGTACATTTGCAATTTAGCTATAGATTCAATACACTTAATTGTAAGGCGATTTCTTTGATCTTCATAAAACTATTTTAGGATAGAGAAATTTCATTTACATGCTGTTTGTGATGGCATAATCAAAAACATTTTAACAGCCAAATCTTCTAGGCATGTGTGGTATCTTATATTATGCGTTAACCACCATGTAAGTGACGATTCGCTTTAAGAATCAAACTCTATATCATAAGGTTCTTCATAATGAATGTATTTACAAAATTCAACTAATAATCAATACATTTTGCTTGATCATGTCCAAGAGCTTTCCAATAGTTACTGGCCATAAGACATGCTAAACGAAATGTTTGATTTTTGAGACCATATTCTAATAATTAATTAATTATATTATATTATTTAATATACTGTATGTGTAATATATGTAACTGTAACTTTTAAATTTACTTACCATGATATAACGGATGTAAATAATAGCTTAAAAAATATGCTTTATGATTTAATTCTTCATATCGAATATTATAAATTTTTGTTATTTGTAATTTAAATGGATTTACTTCTGAAAGTTGAAAGATTGCCACAGCCAATTTTAATATATTAATATAACAATCTGCTAATGTTGCAGTTCAGGCTTCAAGTTTTTCAATGCATATTTTTATCGGTTACATAACTTGATTAATATAATAGCATGTTATAAAAAAATTATCATTATTAATTGTATTCTTTACAAATTTATTAGTTAAACTATATTCATAATTAGTTAATATCTAAAAAAAATTAAAAAAAAATTTAGAAGATTTAATTTAATTAAAATATAAATATTGATATACTATAATTATAGATATAAATACTCAATTAAATACTGGTCATAAACATAATAGTAAATCAGTTGTATTCCATAAATAGCATCATCTTGTTTTTGTATAAGTTTGTAATCTGCCACCTTTAATTTTCATTGCACGAATTTCATCTTCAATTAACCGATTAGGTAAATATGATTTATTAAAGAATTTCATTACATGACTACAAGTTTCTATAAATGTTTTTACTCGAGCAATTTTTGTAAAATCTTTAGCAATCAAATTAATTAGATGTGCAATACATCTTATATCTAAAATATGTGGATAATCGTGATTTGTAATTCTTCATGCAACTTTGCAATTACCTTCAGAATCTGTTACGACTGCAGCAAATTTTTCAAGACCAATTAAAGTTATTATTGTATTGATTTCAGATGCTAAAAATTCTTCAGTATTTGACTTATTAGAATAGTTTTTTAATGCTATAAGGTATTCTTTACGATCAACCATAGTAATAATATAATTATAGATTGATGAACCTTGAGGCGAAGACCATCCATCTAAAGCTAATAATAATAAAATAAATAAATAAATAAATAAATATATACATATATCTATTTTACTTACTTAAAGTTAAATTATCATTTCTTTCAAAAATTGTAGAAATTTCCTTATTAACTTTTGTTATTTCCTCATCAAGAATTTGACTAGATAATGTCATATGTCCAGGTGGGTAATATGCAGGATTAAGTTGCATAAGTAAATCTTGCATAAAAGGGTTATCAATAATGTCAAATGATATACCGCATCCAACCCAAGCTTTTAATACAGCACGATTAAGTGAATTTTGATGATTAACGTTAATAGAATGAGATTCTAAATTATTTGTATCATGTGTTGTATGTTTTGTTTTTGTTTTAGAGGTTCGTTGATAATTATTATTTCGATTATTAATTTTATCTTGCAATAATTTTGATTTTCTTGCAGACAATTAGAACATTCGTTAGCTAAATGTGATTCTATTATGAATGAGATTCCTTTTTGCCAATACTTAGAACAATATTGGCATCGAATAGAATAATATTTTCTATTTTTTGCATCAATAGTATAGGAATCCAATACTTTAGCTCGAGGCTGACCTTCAGGATTAGATTTTTTATTCATTGAAGAAGATGCTAAACAATCGTCAATAGGATTTAAATTATTGTCAATATTATTTGACATATTGAAATAAGTAATAATTTGTTGAAATAAACAACTTGTTAAATTAACATTTGTTTTGATATTAGTTTTATATAATACAGTAAACTTTTATATACATAATATAATAGTAATAGTTTATCACTCTAATTATCACTAGTTATATTGCTTTTATTTTTATCATTTTTATTAGTTTTAACTACAATATGTATTAAAATCAGTTTTATCATGTGATAAACCCAAAACATAGTGATGTTAAAACATTTAGTCGGCAATGATAATTGCCATAATATTGCTTACTTCTCATAATACTGATATAACATAGATAGTTTTTCAAATTTTTGCCATCAGTGGGTTTTGAACTTTCAACTTACTACTTGGAGGGTTGACAACTTAATCACTTTACTAAGTTACTACACTCTTAGTTATTCAGACTTAAAGTATTTGTTATTTTTTTATATAATGTATCTAATTTTAAGTTTATTATTCACATAGGTTTAGTAAATAAATACAATTTATTTATTTAAAGTTATTAGAACTATTGTTATTTATCTAATAAAAACTATTTAATAACTGTATTTAAATTACTAATAAGTATTTTTTATTAATTACATCAGTTATATCATTAAATTGATCTATTAAATTAAATTTATTATATAACAATAAGTGCAACTATTATTTAAATTGATTAATTATGCAATTTCTATTAAATTAGTTAATCGATCCTTATTATTATACTTTTCAAATTACTGTGTTTAGCAAGTTCTATGCATTATACTGAAATCTGAAATAAATACAAATACATAATTGGCTAAAAATTATTTTCAACTAATTACAGTAATTTGAAAAATGCAATAAATTAAATATCCATACATGTGTACAAGCTATTCTACTAATTCATAATAATTTCTTATTCTAGTTCACTATTGAAGCTAAATTGGACATTATATTTTATAAGTCTTTTCCAAACAATAGTAACAATAGCTTTTAAAATAAAACTATATATCTGAAAATAAGACTTTTTTTATCTTTAAAATAATCTATTTTTATTTTTTCACAATTATTATGTAAAATGCTTTTGATTTATGATTTGATAACTATCTGAAAAATTTTTAATATCAATATTGCAGCAAACATTTGAATCTGTGAAAATAGCTAAACTATATGAAAGTAATGAATCAGAAATTAATGAAATAGTATATTTTTTTGTTATTATTAACTAGTGTTTTCAAAAATAATACTTTATTATTAAAATTCAGATTAACTGTTTCTTAAATAAGATCTGGAAATATAATTATTTACTAATTTAATACAATACATCTCCAAATATAATAGCTTGTTCTTTATATAGTATCTACTTAAATTTGATTCTAAATCAACTTTATAATTTAATAAGTGTAAAAAAATTATTTATTAATCACTTATATTAATATTAGTGAAATTAAAATAAAATTAAATTATAGTTTGATGATTATCAATTTTCATATTATTTTTATTAAAGTTTTTTTTTTTTTATAAGCAGTTATGCTAGTACTTTATTAAGTTTTTGAAATTATATTTGTAATTATATAAATGTCTCTAATATCTAAGTTTAGCATCGCCTGGTCACCTTAATGGCACCTAAGTGCAACCTGTCACATCACTTTGAACAGAAGTAAGCTACTTGTCTAACTACTTAAAGTCTATAATAAAAGGGTCTTCTCTTTCATGACAAGCTCCAAAATTGTCTTCATTACTTCTTTTTTAACTTGTTTTTCTTTTTTTCTTATTTCTTTTTTTTTTCTTTCTATTTTTTTTTAATCTGCCTTTTTCTGTTTTCCTAATTTCTTTAGCTTTTCACATTTTTTCCTTTTACTTTTACCTGTTATTCCAATTTTTTTCTTTTATTTAATAATTTTCTCACAACATATTCTTTATACTTGTTTATAGAATGTGTCTCAGGCCATTATTGCTACTATATTTGCAAACTGCTATCTTGATCTTGTGTTTTTTTTGAAATTAGGCCTTTTATTAGTGCTTCTCTTATTTTAACTTCTTCTGTTTCTATTTTTTCAAAGAGCAGTGTATATAGTACATATAAGGAAATCTGAATCTTTTCTTCTTTTTTTAATTTCTTCTATGCTATTGCAATGATTACTTTTTGAATTCTTTTTTAGAGATTTCTTTGTCTCTTGCATGCTGCTAAATATGCTTGCATCTTTTTTACTTTATTTTGACATACTTGGCATTCTACTGTTGTGTATATATCTGACCTTCTTCTGTTGAATTCTTCTAAGATTAGAAGTTTATTTATTATGTACTTGATAAATGCACTTCTTTTGGTACTGCTTTTTCTTATTATGCAATATATTCCCTTAGTTATCTTTAGGCTTTTATAAAAATAAGTCTAATCATAAATTGTGATTTTTGCTTCTGGCTCTAAATTTTTAACTGCTCTTATTTCTTTTCACTCTGCTTCTAGTCTTGCATTTGTTACTAACTTGCAAAGCAGTCTTGCTAATATGTCAGTTCATCTGTTTCCTACTCTAGGCAGTACTCTATTTTTTTGCAACTGACTTTTTTGGCCTGTACTATTTTTCTACTCATTGTTCTTTTTTTTGCTAAATTATCAGCTTTATCATTTTACTTGTCTTCACTATGACTTTTAACTTTAACTAAATCTATCTGAATGTTTTTTATCTTGACAAGGTCTTTAATCTTTATTAACCATATTGCATTCTTCTTCTTAATAATCTTGTTTCTGTCTGCTTGTTCCAAGCTTCTACTAATGTTTCTTATTGCAGCATTACTATCTGTATATATCTCTATTTGCTTCTCTTTAAGTATAATTAAAATTGCTGCCCAAATTGCTATTAACTCTGTTATAATCAATATTTGCTATTTTTTTAGTCCAAATGCTAACTCTTTTTCTGGCTATTTTTGTATTTTATTTGTTTGGACTTATTCAATATCTATATTTTTCTTAGACAATGGCTTTTTACTATCTTTTTCATTAGTTGCACTGTCTGTGTATATTATATTAATATTTTAATAAAAATTATTATTATGATCTTTTTTAAATCTTTTTTGAATGCTAATTTTATCCTGATTGTAATATGATAAACTGCATTATAGATTGTAATATTATGACAATATAGCATTATAAATTGTGACATTATAGCACTATAGCATTATGGATTACAGCATTATATTTACAACTATGTATATAGCTAATTGTAGCATAAATTTGAATAATCTATTTTAAATAAATTAATCAATTATTGTCACAACTGATGCTTGAAATTTTAATTAATTTAATATGAAATTTTTAAAAATTTTTAAGATGCATTTTTTTAGTTTTTTTTTATAGTTGAATTAATGTTTAGAGTTAGTTTTAATAATAAAAGAGTAGATTTTGGTAAGTTTTATATTTTTAAATTGGGTTCTTTATTTTAAGCATCATCTGTAACAATTATTTATATTTTTATTAAATAAACATAAAAGAAATATATAGAATTAAAAAGCTATTTAAGGGGTGTGGTGACCTAGTGAAGTGGTCAGGTTGTCAACCCTCCAAGTGGTAGGTTGGGTGTTCAAATCCCATCGACA